AAATCCCGAATTAAAATTCTATTATATATGATATGTAATTCTTAACATGTCTGAAAGCATGAAACTGTTTACACCTTATTTAAACTCTGAATAAATATTTTGTCTCTTCGTATGATATTTCAATTTTTACACTGATAATTTCATATATCAGGGATAGTATTTTGGCGATTCTTTTCACGCATAAATTTACGCTATCGTACTTTCCATCGGCAGAACGAGAGATGGGACGTCGCCCACACACACACTCCACTCGGTCCCCCCGCGATTAAAATTCGGAATATATATTTCGCTTCTGTTTTAGGGGACACCCCATAGATACGATCGGTTCGTGTCGCGCTGGCTGGCGGGCAGGCCGAAATTGCGCCGGGAGCGAATCCTGGGAGCAAGATACGCGGCTTCGGGTCGAGTAAGCACCTCGACGAGGGGCACCAATCACGGGCGCGAGCATCGTTGCGTGCCGGCACGTCCCGCTTGACGGAGCGGGGCGAAAAGGGAGGTAAAAACGGCGAAATGACGAGAGAGAGTCGAGGGACAAGGGGGCGGGGAGGGGAGGGGGGGCATCCTTCGCGACCGCGGGTCTCACCGGCCGGTGTGTTTTCGCACGCGCGCAGGTACACGGAGGGAGCGCGCGCGCGACAGCAGGACGCAAATATTCAATCACCCGGTTCAAACAGTCTGCTAGGTCCGCGGCGAGAATGAAAAAGAGAGAGAGAGAGAGAAAAAGGGAGAGAGAACGCGCGAGCGACAAACAATCGCGCCCGTGAAAAAGCGAAATAGGTTCCTTTCTCGATCTCGAATTCCCGTCCGCGACCGGGCTCTGCTGCTCGTTTATATTATTCCGCCGAACGTAAAATTGCTCCGAGAAAATCCGAACGTTCATCCTGTCAATGCGCCCCACTTTTTTTTTTTACGGTCACGCTAGATACGAAGATCAGAGAGATGGAAAAATTGAATCTCGCGAGTTTGATGATTTTTGACGACAGCGAATTAGGGAGAACCCGGAACCTTAAGAGCCCGGTGAAGGGAGGGGGGGGGGTCCCAGTTGACGAATTCTAGAATTACGCGGACCGCTTGTCACGCACGGGCTCCTCTCGGGGACACGCTCTGACGTCTCGGTTCCTGTCGAAATACCGACAAGACACGAGCTTATATGTACACTTTCATTCATCGGTCAGCGAATTAGTTCAATAAAAATAAACGTCAGGCCAGAAGGAGAGACGACGCTAATCGTCCCTCGCGCGAAAGTTGATGATCGAAGAACGAGACGTCTCTACGCTCTTGTTCTCCGATCAATCGCGACGACGAGCGACCGCCGGAGTCGCGGCTCGTATTCGACGGCCGACGACTCGTCGACGTAAGCTTGCTCGACGCTTGCTTGTCGGCTAAGGAAGATTTAAATTTGGCCTGGCACCCGAAACGCACACACGGGTGCCGTGCACCAAGCAGGTTCGTCGTCCGGCGGCCGCGCGCGATCCAAATAGCCGCGGCGGCGAAGCATCCCCTTCGTTCCACGCCAAGGACGGCGAAAATAATCTCTCCCGTCCGCGGCGCGAATTTCCGATAAATCGCGCGCCGCGGCCGCGCTTTCCGCCGCCCGCGTTCGAGACCCTTGTCCGCGATGACGGGAAACGATCCGGTTCTGGTTCGATTTGGACCAACCGTGTTATCCGACTCTTTATCGAAATCGACAATCATAATTGGACAATTCAGATAAAACGGGCGAGAGGAGGCGGGGGGGGGGAAGGGAGAACGGGCGAAACGCGAGAATCGGAGCGGATAGAGAGTGGACTGACGAAGACACGAACTGAGAATACAAAGATTGAACGAAATTATCCGAAACGTAACCGAAATATGAATTTATTGTATTTCGATATTTCGAAGCATTACGACGCGAGATTAATATATCGCGCGCGCGCGCGCGTGCATGTGTGTTATTTCCTCCTTTCGTTTGATTTAAAATAAAATAAAACATTACTGGCTGTGCGTGAAATTTATTTAACGATAAATCGTCGTTCTTGAAGCGCGATAAATCGCCGGGATTTCGACAGGACTCTCGCATTTCGTAGGAGACGTACGTTGACTCTACTGATTGAGTTAGAAACGAGCTTGTCGACAACGCGTAAAATTTTCGACTCGGCAAAATAAATTCCGCTCTGGTGACAGCCGCGAATGGAACTGCATGTCATAAAATTGCATTACCCGACGCTGGGAATTATTTTCGATAATATTAGGGGCGATATAATTTATTAATTGGGCCGAATGTGCAAAATGAATTTTCGCGAAAATCGTCACCCTGCAAGGAATGCGTGCACGTATCCCAGGTACATTATTATAATTATTTTTGTAAAAGTTTTCCGAATCCAAGAGTGGCGTTTCACGCGCGTGTAATTAAGTTCAGTATTTTCAATAATAATTTTCAACGTAATTAGCCCGAAATAATCGTGCTCGTTATTTAAGCAAAATTAACACGGACAGCTCGCGTACCGCAATTATCGAATAAATTAATGCTCCTATCTCTGCATTTTCTTTATATCGTCAACGATAAAAGAATATATACATACATGGCTCGTATTCTTACGCGGCGATAAGCTGGCGAAGCGTTAATACGAGTCTCGTGTTACTCAAAACGAGAGCATGGTCAACAATCAGGCGTGGAACATACGAGTGCCTTCAATTGAAGGCATGCTGTTTTTTGTTTGTTTGTTTGTTTTTTCACCGCGACGAGTCGCAGTCCGTCGCGTCCAACAAACTTCGTAAAAACACTCAAGAAAAAAAAAAGAGAAAACAACGGAAGGACAGCGCGGCCATACCTCTTATCGCTGCGGCGAGACATCCTTAGGTTAGGCCGGCAATCCGCGCGCCTCTCCTATCTTATCCCCGTGCCCGCGAGACGTGTACCTGGGGTTCTTCCGTCGCGGCAGAAAATCCGAAGCACACTCATCGAGCCGCGCACAAGATCCGCACACAGGGCACGTGCATACGCACTCGTAAGCCACACCAGCCGCACCATGCACAGGCACACGCGCGGCACCGGGGAAAAAAGTTTTTCGGGCGCGCAACGTCACGACGATAAAGGCCGGACGGGACGGCGCGCGCGATATCGCCCGCGACTCCGCGAAAAAGCGAGCCGCGCGTCGCGTGCCGGCGGCGGGCCGGCCGTGTCGGAGCGGGCATTTCGAACCGCGCACGAGACGTGAGCGCCCGCGGCGGCGGCCGCGCGAACGAATGTCGGACGTGCTCCCTTTAATTTACGTCTTTACCGACCACCGAAGGTCTCTGGCCTAGCTTGGGCGAGGTGGGAACTGATAAAGCAGCGTACGCGCGCTTCGCCGTCGACGATTTCGAGTCAATCGCCCCCCCCCACCCCCCGCCACGTTCGCACGATTCGAATTCGCGAGTGAACCGCGGAGGAGGACCGGTCGGTGAAGCGAAACGCGAAGGTAACGTCGAGAGGCGAGAGAACGGCCAAATGTTACGGCGGTCGGTAACAGTGAGACAGGCCGTGATCGACATTATATTGCAGCGGCAGATTTATTTAGTCGGTAAGAGTACTGCGTGTCGATAATATCCGTGTCTATATGTCCGGTAAAACGTACGCAGCTTCCCCCCCCAAAAGATTGTAATTATAATACATAAATATATATGTCAAGAAGCTGTCAGCGAATTATTTTATATTTTGTTCAGAATCGCTTGAGAAATATGCGTTCGAGCTTGAACACGTGTTACTCAGATAAATTTAAATTTTTTCAGAAATATTTACAGTTCTTTAACTAGACGGTTTCCGGTGAGAAAGTATAGTTTTTGGCATCCCTCTCGCCGCCGTACAAATTTCAGAGACGTGCTAAAAGAACCCGAATTAAGATTAAAGGCAAAAAAAGGCAAATTTCAAGCCGTACAAAAAATTCAATAAAAAGCCGACGTACTAATCTCGCCGTTTCGAGCACGCCGGTGCACCCGAGCGAGTCTCATCTCCGCGAGCCTCGCGAAGAACTCGCGCAGAGAGGAAAAAAGATGCAGCGTCAAAAAAAAAAAATAGAAGAGTACTCGTGATTTGGGGAGAGATCGATTCGCAAGATACTCTCGCGCGCCGGTTTCGGATTCAGCGTGGAAAGCGCGTTTTTTCTTCGTCGAGATCCCCCCCGAAATCGGATAAGGTCCCCGCATCCGTCCCCGTGCGAAATCGCTATCGATCCGGCGAAAGATCTCGCGGCGTATAAGACGCATAACTGTGTATGTACGGCGAGGCGGTGCGTCGTAATAGAGCGCGTAAGCGCGATAAGATAAAACGAAGCGATCGCGGCCGTCGTTATTTAATACCGTGACGCGCGTATATGTACGAGAGGGAGAGAAAGAGATATCCGGAGACAATGCGAGTTTCGCGTACACACGGTGGAGG